TAAGATGTGAAACTCTGGTATAATAGCAGATTATTTATCATAACTGCCTCTATGAACTCAATTGAAAATTATATTTGCTCCTTCCCTTTCCTTTGCTAAAAATACACACACACACACACACACACAGAGTAAAAGTCAAAGTAGCTCTAACAACAGAATCGAAAAATAAGTAGCACTCAGAACTCAAAGTTACTGCTACAGAGTTGATTCCAACTCATAGTGACCCTAAAGAACAGAGTAGAAATGCCCCATAGGGTTTCCAAGGCTATGAATCCTTATGGAAGCAGACTGCTACATCTTTCTCCCATGGAGCAGCTGGTGGGATTGGACCACTAACCTTTGGTTAGCAGGCGAGCATTTAATCACTAGGCCACCAGGGCTCCTCAGAAATAAGTCATGGAGGCTCTATATTCAATGACTAATGCCAAAAAAGTGAGTAGCCAGTAAGAAAGGGACCATCAATGAGTAAAACAACATATTTATGACTTTGATGTCTAAAATGTGGCATATAGGATTGAAGGCTGGAATTGGCCTGAGCTACACTTTGCCTTGCCAGGGTATTCACACCTGTCCCTCCCTACTTCTTTATGCTGTGAGCCTAGGCAAACATGCCATCTGCTATGGAATTTACTTCAATCATACTAATTCAAAAGAAGGCAACCTTCATTTAAAAACTCTTACATAATTAAAATCAGAATACAAAGACAGAACTAAATTTAGAATATAATTTTAGACATAGTACCTGTAACAGAAGAGCAAAATTTTCACTCTGAATTATCTTGGAGAAGTTTACTACAATAAATGCAATACACTCTTCTTGGAGCTGAGACGCCATAGTCAGTGCTGCTTCTGTCCACTTTACTCTGGGTAGACTGCTGATGAGTCTGTCACTTTCCATCAGAAGAAAAGCAGCATTCTTATCATTCTTAAAATTTAAAAAATATTGGGGAAAAAAACAGGTAGTATTACTGCTCATAAAATAACGTTACTAGGCAAATCAAATACTTTTGTTTCCTTGTGATATTACCTGAAAAAAAGGTGATCTTTGTCATTAGTTTTATATATAATACTTAGGTTGTTGTTGTTAGGTGCCGTCGAGTTGTTTCCAACTCATAACAACCCCATGCACAGCAGAACAAAACACTGCTCAATCCTGCGCCAGCTCCATGATCCCTGCTATACTTGAGCCCATCATCGTAGCCACTGTGTCAATCCATCTTGATGAAGGCCTTCCCCTCTTTTGTCAACCCTCCACCCTACCAAGCATGACATGCTTCTCCAGGGAATGGTCCCTTCCGACAACATGACCAAAATAGGTGAGACGAAGTCTGGCCATTCTCACATCAAGGAGCATTTCGGGTGCACTTCCTCCAGGACAGATCCGTTAGTTCTTTTAGCAGTCCATGGTACTTTCAGCATTCTTTGCCAGCACCATAACTCAAAAGCCTCAACTCTTCTTTGGTCTTCCTTATTCAGTGTCCAGCTCTCACATGCATATGAGGTGATTGGAAATATCATGGCTT